TTTGCGTAAATATCGCTTCACTAGCAGCTCATTCTGGTGTGCATCTTTTCCTGCCACCTTCAAATACTTTTCACTAGAGAGGAGCCAGTGAAAATTTATATACCAGAGCGATTTACGTCGCTGATATATCTCGTTGCGTTTAGTTTGCTGCTTCTCCAGCGTCTTTATGGTGTTCTTCTCCGCCAGTGCGATGGCCTTGTCGGTAGCTTAGTTGTCTTCTTTACCTTTTCCATAGCCTTTTTCTTTATGTGTAGATTTTGCGGGCGTTTGCAGGAGCCAAAATTGACATATCAATCCTGATAATATGAGCCTTCTTGTCTTCCTCCCCGATACCATCATCGCCGAGTCCATCCTGGACCTTCTCGTCGGCGTCACAGAGCAAGACAGCCACTCGATTTCTCGCAAGATCAAGTTGGTGAATCAAATTTGCTACGGAAGTACCATTTGTTTGCTCGTACCGAACAAATTACTCCAAACCACGCCAGTCCATACCGCTAGTTAGCGCACTACGAATGACAAACAAAACATCCTACTGATTCAATTTAATAAGCTGGGAGTGCTGGGAGCTTTGCTCCTGAATTTCTTGTTCTTGAACGATCTGTTACTGGTGGTTCTTTTTGAGCTTCACAAGCTTATTCTCAGCTGCCGTCTAAGCACTTTTCTTCGCCACCTCAGTTTTCGCTGCTTTGTCGCGCGAATAGTATTCATTTACAGCCTCGTCAAATAATTGAAAGGTTTTAACCTTTTTTGTGCTGATGCTGAGTATACAAGTACGGCGCAAGTTCTTCAAACATTTCCGTTTCTCCAGCATCCTCGAAATCTTTCAAAAAAATAAACCCGCACATCTAGAAGTCAGTACACAGATGTCAGGTCTCCAAAACAGCGTTTTTGTTTATGTTTCTCCTGCTTCCCCTTGATATTGTATCTAAATTGCGTCATTGATCGATGTCTGTTTTTGCTGTAGCCTCTCTAACGCTCGAGACAACTAGCAATACCATTGTTGTCACTTCTGAACAATCCCATGTCCCAAACAAAAGCTATCGCAGCTATACGTCTACGTCAAATTTGTTTTTAGCCCTGGCTGGGATAAGTATATGACTCGTCAAAGCTCCACTAGGAGAGAAGTGCTTAGTACTCAACTTCTCAACTTCCAGTCAACCCATAGCTCCTGGCGTTCCAGCCACGACATACCCAGGATAATATGTATACCGGATCCAGAACTGAGACTAGGCAATGTTTTATGCTGTCAAAAATTCGCGAACTTTACGTGATGCTTTAATATTGGTGCGAGACAATTGCCGCAAACCGAAAATGCACCAGTTCGAGACTCGCGTTGCGGAAGAAATAAAATACGACTAGCATATAATTGCGGGTCAAATTTAACTAAATCATGCACAAAACATATGTTTCTGCCGGATGAAGTGGTTTAAGAGCAAAGGATTCCAAATTAGCACTAAAGTAAATCTGGTACATTCTATATTGACATACCACATTGCGTCTTATATACCAGTGACGTTTAATTGGCTGGTGACACAGCTGTTCAGGCCACATCGTGCTATGCATGAACTACGAAGTGGTTCCAGTCTTGATCAGGGATACTGCGGGGCTACCGTAGCTTAGCGCTTGAAGAAGCGTATTTAAGGTCACCGACCTTTCGTTCTTTACAAGAACCAAGTATGATCGAATTCCGCTTACTCCAAGAGTAATTATTGCCTTCCCAAGGCTGATGTATAACTACTGGTTATCTAGCCCCGTACCGTATCTTGTTTGGGTGTGGTCACACCATGCCCATCTAGTGTGACACCCGCCCCCTGCTACCAGTATATGTGTAACCCCGTTACAAGAGGACTGTCGATCAAATCGAACTAGCTGATATGTGTTGCTACGATACGTCGTAGCAACACTAGTAAATTGAAATCAACGGGATTGAGCGTCATGCGCAGGGTGAGATTCGTATATCTTCGCCGAAGTGTTTGCATTCGCTTAAGTAGCAAAACTCACTTTAATCGTGTTATTTATGCTGCTGATGTCAATGCTTGCACTAACTCATGAGTTATGGTGACTGGCTCGGTTAAAAGTTGCTATGTATTATCTTATAACACGGCTATACCTACTCGGCCCCGACTAAAATACTACATTGCCTCACTCCACTGGGGTATTATTTTCTTGATTTTAATTCTTGATTTTTCTTGTACAAGTCGCCATCCCGAAGTCTTCATTGGCTGTTATCGGTAATATTTTTGCATGTCTGGTACGATTACGATTTTGTCCGCTGAGGGGCTCGAACCCGCGCCACACAACTTTAGGTCCAGAAGCATCGACCACTCGACCCACTCCACCGGGTCTTTGGTGACTGGCTCAAGTGGTTTGGCATCGTGATGCTAAACGGCAAGTTGTGAGTTCAATTCCCACTAAGGATTGTTAGTGCGTGTTTAACCTCTATTTTTAGGACTGCATATGTCTGCATATTAAAGTGTGTGCTTACTTTAGGTTCGCGCAAAGACTGAGTTAGAGTGTTCCGCATACCTTAAGATGGGTTAGTAGCTTTGAACTGAGGTTTAGTATATTGTGTGGCCCGCAAGGCAGCTGCACGTGGGTCCACACAATTGCGTCTAACATTAATACACTGTCTTCTGCATTTGCACACACAAGCACACATCACTTCTACCTCTGCCCTTCTTATATCGTATAGGTTATGAGCCCAATCAGTGAAGACTACGCTAAGCCTGCCCGTTTTGATGGCACCAACTACCGTCTATGGGCATACAAAATGCAGATGTACCTCTTGTCACGAGGACTATGCGGTTTCGTCGATGGCAGCGTGCATACCGTCGACGACGTTGAGCAGCAGCAAGCGCATGCGGTGATTGTGCTCAACCTGGCCGGCAACCAGCTTCAGCACGTATTTAGCGCCGGCAGCGCAGCTGAAGTGTGGATGATGCTACGGCGCATTCACGAAGACCGAGATGT